TGTTTTGATAGTTAAGAAAACTGATCTAGAAGAGCTAAATGACTCATTAAATGTCCTTCTGTTAATTTTTGTTAGTGCCAAGACTGGCAGCTAGAAGCCAGTCATCCATTCCCTTTCCAGTCCATTGACCTTGAGCCTTCCTGACAGCAAAGAACCTCTAAGAATCACAAGTGAAAGGAGTCTCTTTAGTCTGTGTATAACTTTCAGTACAGTTGACTCATGATTTCTTTGTCAGTGAAAGAGAATGAAGGAAATATCACAGACTACAAAATGAATCCAGTAGAAAGCTACTTTGAAATTCATTTCAGAACCATAGATCTTCAAATATTCAAAGAAAGGCGTTCAGCAATAAAGACAGGCAAAAAAAGAAAGAAAAAATGAAGGAGAAAAAGAAAAGGAAGTATAGAAAAAAGGAAGAAAGGCAAAGGGTCCCAAATCTATATTAATTCCTAGATGTCTGCAGGTTCCACATGCTTCTGTTTTGTGAGCTGTTTCAGGGACAAACTCTGGCAAGAATGAGCTGGCAGGACTATTCTCAAACATAAGTTGTTTATACAAAAACTTTGCTAAATCTCCCACTTGCTTTCTTGATCATTTAATTTACTCACAACAATAGCAGTGGGACAAAGTGATTTTAGAAACATTTAACACTTCCTTGATTATAGTAAGACTTTAAAGAAGGAAATTTTATTCTGTAGAAAAACATACCAGTTTATTTACTCCAACAAGTGCTATGGAAATAACCCCACCGACCAATATTCCCAGATTATTATTTTAATACAATTTATAAATTTGGATGACTGACATAAGTGTAGCGGAACAAAACCACACTAAGAAGGTTTTAAAAAGCAATGGGAGATAGTTATCAGTTAATTAGAATTGACTCAAGTGATTCAAAAGATTACCTTCTCTTTGATATTGCTAACACTGTTTAGTTGTATTAGTCATTTTGAAAGCAGAAACTGAGTTGTCCAGACAGGACTCAGACTTGTGGTCTTCCTGTCTCAGCCTCCTAGAGTGGTAGGATTACAAAGATACACCACTACACTCAGCTAAGTGGAAACTTCTTCAAGACAGTACAAATATCTGATTACAGTTTAAGTGCTACCAAATAATGTCTTTTCCATCTAGGAATATAGAACAGCTTTTGTCTTCTACATGTTAAGTTGAATAATAAGAAACATTTTGAGTCAGGAAACAATCAATTTGTCTCCAAACCTTTCAAATAAGGTATATGCAGTAATGAAACACGTTGACTTTCTTATTAAATGATGACAAAAACACTTTGCATTTGAAGGAGCACAGAGTTTTGGAGTCCAAAGATGGAAGATTGAATCTAACATTTCCTTCTTAGTTACGCATCTTTAGGCAATTCATTTAACTTCTTCTGTGCCTTCGTTTAATTTGATGCATTAGTAAAAGTCTGATATATATGATATTACCCTGCAAAAAGCTAAAAGATTGACAAATGTTAAAATAAAGATATATATTGATTTCATGAGTAGTTGAATATCCTAAAATTTATCAACAAAACTATCTGATTATTTTGAAATCATGTTCAGAATAACATAATTGGGGCCAGAGGTTTAGCTCAACAGGCATAAGTGCCTGCTTGGCAAACGCGAGATTGTGAGTTCAATCCCCGGCACCAAAAAAAAAAAAAAAAGTAACATAATTAGTTATGGAGATGTTTTAATTAATATTACTTCCTTCCTCATCTGCAACTCTAATAAAATATATGCTTAACAAAACAACTGATGGTAAAAATGTCTTTTAAATTTATTTTACCTAGACATTTTATTTTTTCTTCATTGAAGTGTGGGAGAGATAGAGACAGTTATAATACATTTCTATGCACAGTGTTATCTTAGAAAAAATGCAAACTTTACATCTGAAAGACTGAGCTGACTGCATTTCTACTGGACTAGAATTGAAATTAGCAGACTTTCCATAATTTTCAAATGGAACAGATTCCCAAGCACCCTCAGAATTTATATGTTCAGGGAAAGAAAGCCACCACGAATTGTAGGAAAGGAATAAGTGGCCTATAAAAGGGGAAATTACTTCTTATAGTGAAGAAATAGCTCTTCAATAGTAGATTCAGTCTAAATATACTCTACAATAAGCTTCATTTCTTTAATAGACTGTATTATTGCCATACCAATCAGGTTTCTACAGTTTTTGGCAATCTAGTCAAGAAAAAATAATAACCAAACAGCACAATGGCTAGCTAGGCAAGCACATGCTTTCAAGTTGGTGATCTTCTCTGTATTTTTAAAAATTATTATCTTTAGTATGTTTGCAGAACAGAGAGGGAATGGGGAGACATCTTTTCTGAATTTTTAAGTGATGTTTGGATCATTAGATTTTATAGTATCATAGCACAACATAATTTTATAATTTTTATAAATATGATGTATGTTTCTACATACAATGTTCTAAAATTTCTACATAGAATGTTCTAAATTTCATTTTTGAGTAGAAATTCCTCTAAGAAGTTTTTACTATTTACTTTAGTTTTTACTAAACTTCTTTTACTAAGAAGTTTTTACATTTTCTCAGCAGGCACACAGTAGGCACCTAAAACAGTTCTTGAGTTTTACTCAAAGTTTTAAAATAAATTGTTCTTCAAGTGTTTCTTCAGGTTGAAGTTAAAATGGCTCCTGTCCTTGATGGCTTATATTATTTCTCTCTATATGGTAACAATTGAAATCTTATTTTTAATAAACTCTAAAAAAGGCTGAACACACAGTATTAAATATAAAAAATTGAATGAATTAAATGTTAAAAATTACCAGGTAATATATTATTTCATAAAATTATATTTCAATTGCATGTGATTGTTTGATTATTACTTTTCTCTTGACTGAATTGCCCAAAGCGACAGATTTCAGTTTAGGATTGTAGTACAGTCCAGATGAGTATAAAGAAGATAAACTCAATTCTAGAATATATTTGTTCAAACCTATTTTCGTAAGCTTTTTTTGCACTTATCTTGAAATGAGCATAAAAGAATAAAATGCATGTCTTTTTTGCTTTTACTTTTAATCAGGAGAGCCGCATGTGGAAGAAAGTAGCATGCTCCATCTATTTAAAGACTTTACATTGATTCAAAACTCTGCAAAACAACCTTAAGTCTTCTATTTCAGCAAGGTGTTTGCTATTCAAATAAAATAACAAAATGCAATGCTTGCGAATTAGGGAAAGTGTATTATGCTGATCAAAACAGAACTTGATAAAATGTTTACCACTGACAAACACAGGTAGAATTACACAGAATCACCTCTATTCATAATAATTTAAATTGAATGTCAGCACTGTTTACATTTAGGCATGATTCATATTCTGCTTCAAGGAACAGTCTAATGCGTCATTACATTAGTTATGTTATTACAAAAGAAAAAATATGAATGAGTACAAAATCACCTGCCAGCCGGGTTTTAGCTCAGTGGTGCAGTGCCTTTCTGGCAAGTGTAACATCCTGAGTTCGATTCCTGGTGATCTCCCAAAAAGATTTTAAAATAATCATCTGCCAGTACAAATGCTAGAGTGAATTAAGGAGCCATTTATTGTGCTCATACTATACTTTCAAATCTGTAGACTCGTACTCTCTTTGCCTAGAAATTAATAACCGAATCATAAGAAATTAAATATGCCAATTATCTGCAGCGACAACTTTTGATTTTAATGAGGGAACTGGCAGACATATGAAATCAGATGGAACATAGAAAAATAGCTCAAGAAAAACATATTAACAGTTGTTTAATATTTTTATTTTCTTCTCTAAAAATATAGGCATAGGAAGACTTTTAAAAAATCAATATTTTCATTTAAAATATTGTACAGGAAAAATAATAAAAAAAATAAGGCCGGGGATTTAGCTCAGGGGCATGAGCACTTGCCTGGCAAGCACAAGGTTGTGTTTGATCCCCGTACTAAAAAAAATAATAAAATAATATAAAATAAAATTGTAGAGGCAAATTTTTAAAGTAGAACTGTTTGTTATTGCCATTTGTTTAATTGAAAGTAACCTGAACGACAGCAGTGAGTTACTTTGCCTTGATATTCCTCAAAAGAAAGCTCACACGGGCCTAAAGGTTACTAAGAGAAGGCAGTTGAAAAGGAAAAAAAAAAGTACTTACACTCATATTCATCATTCATTTACCGAATAAACCCTCATCAGGGGCCTTCTGTGTGTCGTGCACTGTACTGGGAACTGGAGACCTAAGGATAAGACTTTTCTATATAGGGAATGAAGTCTGATGTGTGTAATAGCTTTATACAAATAACCATATCCACTTCATAGTGTCAGAAATTACAATCAGTGCTAAAAAGAAAAAAAGGCAGGGTGCTCTGAGAGAGTTTACATTAACTGGTCAAATATAGCTTTTGGGGGGAAGTTAACGATCAACCAGGAACTGAAGAACTTCTGCTATGCCAATTTTTCAGCAGGTTATTGGGGAAAAAATATGTTTCATTCCCGAGTCTAACAAAGCCACTTACCGTTTTACAGCTTAGTAATGAATAAAGCAAAAGCAAATAAAATCCTTTAATAAAGCTTTCAAAAGGAAAACAAGATGACAGTAAATGTTTTAAACTATACCACATCACATTTATTTTATTGTTAATCACAAGAATGCACAGAATACCTGAGGTAAAATTCTTTTCTCTCTGTGATCACTTTTCATTTTAGCCAACACACATTTTAGAGCTGCCCTCTAGTGACGACCATAATTACTACGATAAATGGTCATTTAGATTGGTGGACACTGATGGTTTCTTACACAGGATGATATACTCTTACCAATATAACTATTGAAGTGACAACAAATTGAATTCTTGAGCCTCGTTCATATTAAAACTAATTCTGAGTGCACAAAGACAGTGATGTTAAAAGAACTGGGTAAATTAGTAGTAAAAATAATAGATATTCATTTCAAATGTGATTCTTCCCCAACTGTGATTGACCACTTTTGCGGAATATCAAAAATTATAAATAGGTGCTCACTTCGGCAGTACATGTGCTAAGATTGAAATGATGCAGAGAAGATTAGCATGGCCTTGTGCAAGAATGACAGGCAAATTCATGAAGCATTCCATATTTTTCCAAGATAGATAATTATACTCTAATCTCTATTAGTTCATCAAAAACAATGGCTCACGCTTTCACAGTTTAATCAATTTTTCATGCCAATTTCCTGTAATCTGAACAACTACTTGAAGATAACAATACGCAATATATTAACCATTGTTAATCTATTATTCTGCTTTGAAGTTCTGTATCACTTTTATTCTTTTTTCATTTTAAAATTAAAAAAATATATATAAGTGGGTTTCCAAAAAGGACATGAAAGTAAATATATTTCCCAATGTGGTTATAAAGCAGAGAAAAACATTAGTTGGTTTTATAATACATTTTATAGATTAAGTTAATGTTTTTTTGATAAAATGAAATAGAATTCAAAAATCACAATGTATTGAACAAAGAATAACCTATTTCAGTGTGTGTATGTGTATGTACACGTGTGTGTATTTAGGGTTGCACAGTGCAGTATATTTCGATGCTGCTAATATTGATCAAAAGTACACAAAAGGTACTGGAAAGCTCCCCATGATAATGGGTAAGGCAAGCAAAATTCTAAGAATAAAGTCCAATGACTCTCACCCTTCTATAATCTCCTACTTTTCAAGTATGAGTAGAACAGGTAAATATGAGCTATTATTCCTGTATATTCTCTTATATGGCAAGAGAGATTATCTAGAAGGAACTAATTTTATTTTATTTGCTGTTTAAAAGCAGATTATTTTCTCCAGTTTGTCAGCAAATTGGGAGTCAGAGAGAAGTGTAGCACACAAAGGCTTCTACACGCTTTTGGGGGGGAGCATGTGAGAACGACTATGATACTTAAAACCAATGGCTTACAGCTGATTGCTGACAAGAAAACTCTAGTCCTACAGCTCCAAGGAAGTAGACTTTATCAACAACTGAATAAGCCTAAAAGCAGATTTTTCCCCAGAGCCTCCAAGTCAAAGCTGTGTCCTGCTGACATCTTGACTTCAGCCTGTGAGATCTGAAGCAAGGAGGCCAGGTGAAGTCTAGAAACTTCTGACCTATAGAACAGTCATTTAATAATTGAACATTATTTTAACTCATTGAGCTTTTGGTAATTTCTTATACAGTAGTAAAAAGCTAATACCGTTATTCAATACAATTAATATTATATAAGATGTATAAGAAAAAAAGGGCATGAAGAGAGAATAAGCAAAAAGTAGAGCCCTGGCTAAATGACGAAGAGACATCAGGGACCAGGATAGAAGAACCTGTGAATACAGAAGGTGAAAGGTGGTCCCTTTTGTTAGGTAAAGTTATTTCTTTTCTATGGAAAAAATAATTTACATTTTAACAGTTTTATCTTAAATAGCCACATGAGGCTTGGGCTCAAAATTTTTTCAGTACATGTTCTGAAGGATCAAGATGTTTGGGGAAGAATTAGCACATTAGCACAATACATCTTAACAGCAAATCTTTATTGAATTTGAGCAAGCATGAATAGGAATTGAATTAAATTTATTCCCCCAAACAGGACACACTTTATGTAGATTGATACAGACTAACAAATCAAATGACCAAGTCAGTACATTGTTAGATCAGTGACACAAAAGAAAATAGAAATATTGGAAAGCTCTGCTTGCTTGGTATACAGAATCAGATAAAAGCACTGATGGCTTCAAAGCAAACGAATGAGAAATCTATCCCATAATGTATACATTGAAATTCTTCTGAGACTTTGAATAACAAATATAAACTACTCATGAAAAGCTTGTGAGAAATTAAAACTTGTGCTGTCAAGTCACGCACAGGAAATTTCTAAATAGGTTGCAATTGTTATTGAAACACAGAGGCAATTAAAATCTTCAATGTGAGGGAAGACAAAGGGATGACGGCTTCCCAGGAGAATGCCTTGGAACTTTAAATATCTCCTGCGCTGTACACTATTCAAAGAATTAAGAGAATTGTCACATTTTAAAATTCTTTCCCTGTAGTGTAACTTCATGGAACTCATTAATAAACAACTGTGAACATTATTTTCTTTGTTTTAGGGTTTATGTAATAAAGGGCCATAGGGAATTAATAATTGAGGAAAGCAGAAGGAAGGTGAACGTGAAGCATCCTATAGCCAATTCTTAGCAAGTTTCATCCCTCTTATTATGTCATCAGTCTTTAACAGAGTTCAAAACAAGAAAAATAAAACCATTTTCAACTTGATAAATAAAACAGTTAAAACCTGTTATGATTGTACATATTTTCATTCAGTTTTGTTCTTTGAGCTTTTACTACTGTTTAACTTTGTTGTTCTTGACTAAAGAAAAACATCACTTCCAGATTTTTTGTTCTTACTTTCCATACTCAAATACCGTAAATAAAAGTACTACTTATTTTACGATTCTAAGATAAATACCCAAGACTTTCTTTTCTGCTCCATACATTTTTAATTTTTATTTCCCCTGTAAATTTGAAGCATCAGCTCTATAGATGCCACTGAATATAGATTTTTTACTTCCTAGTAGAGATGAAATAAAGTAAAGCAGGTACAAGAATAGCCTAGATTCTAGAACTTGCTGTTTTGGAAAAGATGATGAATGACCTGACAATTAATAGCTAATAACACTTACCAGCAAATGACATTTACTGCAGTTTATAGAGAAGTAACATATTTTCATTTTGTCCTGCTATGTTTAAAGTATAATCTTGCCTGAAGTCAAGTAAAAGGACTAGTGCCTGTAAAGACCCTGTTAAATCAGCTTATGACTTTAAAGAGTTGACTGATGTATCAGAAGCACATTACTTGAACACAATTGTTTCATTAGTGACATTCATTTGTTTCCTAGTGTGCATATGCGATACCCGTGGTTAATAAAAAGAGGAAAGTTTGCTAAGTTCAATTTTAAAATATAGCTACATGGGAGTGTGACATTAAGCTTAAGTGAGACTTATTATTGTAATTTCAGTGCATTTATATGGCATTTCATATTTGCTGCGTGAAAGATCAATGACCTCATATTAATTCTCCTACTGAGTTTGGGGAGTCAAGGTGAGTATATAACTCTACTGTCCAGTTAAAAGGCTGTCCAAGTAAAAAGCTTACAAAGTTTGTTAAGAATTATCTGCTCATTGCAGCTACTATTTTCACCATATTTATGGTTCCCAGGTAATATATACTACTGAATGGGAGAAAAATGAAATTAATCTTTATAATTCTGCTACTAAAAATTCATAGTTCAAAATATTTTGGTGAATAAAAATTATGATGCTCTGAATTATATAGTAAATATTTAAATGAATTATGCCTGTTCATTACAATGAAATTGTAAACATAAAGACAAATAAGACAAAGTTAAAGGTAAATCTGGGACAGAAAGCTGATAATTTAGGAAAGGCAGATATTCAGCATTACAGTTTTGTTCCCATTTTTTCGTACTTTATTCCTTCCTACACACAATTAAACATTTCAAACCCCCAATCCTAATTGCCTCTAAAAATTCCAAAGTATTAAAAACAAAGTAATTCTGCTCTAAACCAGAACTACTTTTTCATCGCACAATAATTGATGTATCTTCTTTTTCAAGGTACATTTTAGGGTTTCTAATGAAACTAAAGCATCATTCCTCTTTAAAGTTTCTTCTTAAAATAATCTTTCTCATTGTCAAAACATACCACATTTCATGTGTTTTGATACATTAGGAAATTACTTCATTTGAAATTTCCCTTAGGGTTTGATATTGTAAGTCATCAAACTCTTATTCTTATTTATATATTTGTTTGGTGGTGTTAGTGTTGGGACACAGACAGGATGTTGGATGGATGTTACAGGACCTAAAATTTTAATTAGACTTGAGAAGTAATTTCAAGAGAACAATATGGTGACTATGAAATGGATTGAATACTTGTAATGGAGCCCATTTTAATTGTTTTCCCCACAAATAAAATGGCATGTCAGGTAATGCATATGTTAATTAGCTTCATTTAGCCATTTTCTAATTCACACACACACACACACACACACACACACACACACACACATGCATAAGTATTGAATTTTAGTTTTCAAATTTTGAGTTTGCTTGTGCTCACTAAGCGGTTACTCTAACTCTACCTAAAGGTAACTGCAGTTGTGCAAGACACTAAAATCTGCTGACACTACCAGAAATTTGGAGAACAGGCAAGTTCTTGAGTAAAGATTTTCTCACTGAACCTTTGTGGTTCAGAGTCCTTCTCTGTATTGGATTTTATGGTTGCCACATCAAAAAACAGAAGTAGGTTTGAAATTTGCTGGCAACATGACACAGTATTTCAAAAAGCAACTCCCATTTCATTCCCTTAGATTTCTATTTTTTTCTCTTAGATTTCTTTCAAAGATTTTATCTGAATTTTTTGATGAATTTTCTCCTTTTTAATTTAACCTTTCATTTTAGTCAAGCGTTTTTATAAAGATGAGTGAGCAAATTTCCAGAAGATAGGTGACGTTCATTTTAAACACACTGTGGGAATGAATGCATTCAGAATAGTATGGCTATGTTAATTATTACTGCTACTAAAATCTTCTTAAATACAATATGTTATAAAACCCATTTATAACTACTTCATCTTCCCCTTTTCAGATTTGAATATGAGATATTTTTAATTAAATATCATGATTATAAATTGGGAGAGAGAATTTGCCTGATCTTCCCAGTGCTCATCTAATGTATTGGATAGATTTTATGTGCTGATTACTTATTTTTAAACTACCACATTGATTTTAAAATGTGAATTCCAAGCATGAATAATGAATGAGTTTGGGGAGTTTTGTCCTTATCTGGAATTACTGATGATCTTATTAATATAAATCACCCTGATACGATTAAATTACCAGGTGACATTTTAAGTAATTTGGAACATGTGTGCAAGTATTTTAGCTGCATTTGTATTTAGATACATAATTTAAGAGAAACATGTTTGGTAAAGAAGAATGACATTGCATTATAATGCCAAATTTAGTTAGATTAAAAAATATTTAAGCTTGTTCCAACATGACTCTATTAGTTATATAAAATAGTATTTCCAA